AATCTAGCTGCCCCGGGTACTGCCGATACACGACGCGCGTCACGCCCCGCAGGCCCAGGTCCCGATACGCCTCACCGAAACGGACGAACAGCGACGAAACATTTAGTGCGCCGCGACCAGCCCTCGTTTCCTCGTTCCATAGCTGCAGCCAGGTTTTTTCGAGCGCCGCTACGTGCTTGCGGTCGCGCTCCGAGACGTGCGACTCGCCGGCGTCGAGTCGGCGACCGCGTGCGCGGCCCACACCGTGTTCTACGCGCACTCGAAACATGGATCCGTGGCGCCCCGTCGCGCCGCCGCGCGTCCGACCAGAAACCTCCATCGTGCCCAGGCGGACCGATGGCGCGACTTCGCTCAGCTTTGGAACCAGCTCTGTCACCAGCGCCGAGCCTAAGACCAAGAAGAACCAGCGCATCCATCGCATGGTACAGGTAATCTCTGATTAGCTAGGAAAGTAGCACCCGAAGGAGAGAGCGAGAATAAGCTGCTGTTTATTATTTATTGTCTCAGCCCTTTCGACACGCGCTCCTTATGTGCAGGTGATATAGAGGTTGCTGCCACGAGCGCTGGCTATGACTCGTATAGGGAACCACCGCTGTAATTTGGGCCGCCGATACAATTTGGGCCGACCGTTCACGATTGGATGGCTCGCAGTTTATTTTATACGGTCCGCTCAATCTTGGGCCGCTCAAGCCGTTCATTCACAGTATAATTTCGCGACCGGCCCAAGATTGAGCGGTGGTTCCCTACCGAGGAATTACTCGGGGTGGTGAAACGTACTGTTCTACTCGTCAGGCTCGCTCTCTAGAATAGAAGCTTTCAGCAACAATGTGGTATCCCATTCTGGTATCCCATTCAGACACTGGCATCCATCAAACATCAATCGATCTATCCGCAGGACGCATCTGAGCGGCCGAGAGTGGGCCCGGCCGCAGCCCAGGTCCCGCGCGCCCAGAGGACCACCACAGCCAGCAGTCTTATTTAGCTTAGAAAGTTAGGATAGTTTACTAGCTTCCTTGAAGAGCTTGTTCAGCTCGACGATGCTCAAGAGCGTCGGCTCCGGATCGTCGTCGCCGCCGGCGGCGCCCGCGCGGGTCCGCGGCGGCATTGTAGGAAGGCGAGGCGCCGGTGTCCTCGCCGCTGCGCCGCGCGCGAGCCGCGCGGGCGCTGGTGGAGCCTGGACCGGAGCGCGGCGCGGCGCCGGGCTCTGCGGCGGCGCGCGCTCTGGTTCCAGGGGCTATCCGCCGCTCGCGAGCGGTGGATCTGCTGCAGCCGGCGCGCTCTGCGCGCAGGTCTGCAGCGGTGTAGCTGCGCACAGCTAGCAGGTGTAGCGCGGTGGCTCACAGCGCGAAAGCGGGAGCATAACCCAGATCAGAGTGAGACTGATACATAAACTTTCCAACGCTTCGTCCAACAATGATGTCAAAAGAT